AAGTAAAAATATTGCATGACCAAATCTGTTGCAGCAATTATTTTTTTATATTCATTGAATTTTTAATAAATTAAGATTTAAAGGAAACATGAATACTATATAGTTCACTAAAAAAAAAAAACAAAATATACTTAAATACCTTATATATTTAATATTTGCCATTTGATCTTCTTCAGTTTCCATATTTCGTATAGTAAGCCATGATATTCTTGGATTAGTGACTAATATGATTGGCCATTGACCATGACGTATGTCAATAAATGAAAATGAACCTTGATCAAATGCTATTAATCTAAACCTACAAAGAAACATAACAGTACAGTTAATAATCAAATTTACATTTAATCTAGATTCTACTAACGCTCTTCCATCTTTCCAGTCAGCTAGTTCTAACTCTGCGAATCCTTCATTTTGCATTGTATACATTTGTGGCACTAAACCACCTAATGTATGCAAATGACCACATAAGTATACAATAGACATTGGATTTTCACCTATAATAGACCTTACCTAAGAGCAACAAAATAGTGTGAAATAAATACATTAACAACTCAATTTATTATCTGGTTTTACAGTTTTACTTCCTGATGTAAATATGCACGAAGTTGGGTAATGTCCAAACCATACGATAGGATCTTTGGTATTATTTGCTAAAGATTGCAATTGAAGTATTTCAGATTCATCCAAATTTCCAATAAAATTAAATGGTCTTTTAGGTCCTGGATCTAAGCAAGCATCAACTGCAATCATATTAAGACTCATTCCGGCATGATTTGTAATTTTGTATTTGTATGATCGTGGATGAGACTGGCCTTGTTTAGAATATTTTCGGTAAAAATTTTTTGAAGAGTCTAAATTGTTAACATCAAAACTATCTAAAAATATATATTAAATCACATGTAGTATATTATATAAATATTAAAAAATACTTAATATTTTTGAAACTTTACCATGATTTCCACGAATGTCTAACCATTTAGTTTTTTCAGACACTTTACCAGATGTTAATACATTATGGTATGCTAACCATTCTCCTTCAAACTGTGTTGATCCAATACCATCCTTTTTTTTAGCATCAGTTAGATCTCCTACATTAATATTTTGTTTGACTTAATAATTATCATTACTTGAATTTCCATAAAGCATAAATAGTATGACTAAATAATTTTAAAGTAAGGACTTAAAAAGTTGGAAATCAATTAATACAGATCTATATATACCATAAAAAGCCAAAATAAAAATTGAAATTCATAACCCAAAAAACTTTAACCCATTACTTTTGTATTTTAAAACAAAGCATAAGTCATAGAACCTTGCTTCAAAATAATGAAAAAATAACATATAAATTTGTATTTTATTCAATTATAARCTGTCCAAATTAAATTAATAAATAATATTTTTTTTATAATTTCTATAAATTAAACATAATAATATATTCCATAATCCCATAATAGGGATATTTAATCGAATTAACAGATGTATAATAATGATAATATGTAATCCACATCACCACCAAAATAAAGATTTTAATCGGTTATTATAGAAAAACATACATAATTTTTTCAAAGTTTTAGGTTTAACTAGTCACTCTTAAAGAATATCATTTTTGAGAGTTATGTGACTTGTCCTTTACATTGTCAAATTATAGTAAAAAGTACTGGGTTTAATTAATTAGATTAAAAATATTGTATTGTTTAATTGGTATTCTGTATATTATTAATATTAATGAAAATACAAATATATATTTTCAAAGTATTAGAATTTTAGTGATGAAGAAAATAATACAATCAGTTGGTAGTAAGTATGAMTTTTTATTATAAATGTTGTATTGGTAATAAACAAATATTTAATTTTCAAAAGAAAATGTTTGTATTGTAAAATTATTTAAAACGCGCTACAATTTTAAAATTAATATATAAAAAAACACTTTAGAGATTCATTAGAAATAATTTGTTCTTATATAATTTATCATAGAGTTAAATAAATTATTTAGAATCTACAATTTATTAACTTCTGTACTCATAAGATGGAGAGAACGTGGATGTAGCGTCTTCTTAGTATACGAGTGGTGTTTCTTTAACCAGAAGTTAAAAACATTAAAAACCCTATTTATTTCACTTTATACTTTTAATTAAGGATGGCCAGGATGGGTTCTTGAACACTCAAGCACCTCACTATTCATTACACAATTTTATTGTATTATTAATAATATTAAATAAAATAATATATATTGTCATTTAAGATTAAGATTTAAAATAATTATATTCGTAAACACCATATACATTAAACGTAGGACATACACAAATTTAATTTGAATCATAACTATTTATAAATTAGCAAAAACACATACCACTTGCTAATACAGCTGAAGGCTTAATGGTATCCAAAGTTAATTCACAAAATTCTTTAAGCTCAGTAACTCGTTCCCAATCATGGAAAACACTAAGATGTAAATCTGAAATCTATAATAATAAATGTCAATAGATTGCTATTATAAGGCCTTGATTAAGCTTAGTTAATTGTGCCTATTAGTTACAATTTAAATTCTTTACGATTAACATCGTTAATGTGGTAATCAAATTTAAATTTATATTTCAACTATCACAATTTAAATTTCATATGAGAAAATTAATTGTAATGGTATTACATTAAATAGTTATATAAYTTTCAATATCATAATTTTAAAACAATATGAATATTTTTAATTTAAAATAGTTACCTAAACCAATCATATTTCATTCACCATAAAACTAAAATTTCTAAAAATTTTAGCTTAAACAAAATATTGTAAGCTGAAAGCAGCTCTAATGTTAATTTAGAAACAACAATATTTGTTAGTTTTATARAAATTAAATTTATCATTAATATTACGAAGTTAGATAAAAAAATGAATAGCTTTTCTCAATTTTTAATTTTTCATATTTTTTATAATATAATTTAAAATCTGTTACTAATAATAATTAGAACAATTAGCAAAAWGATGGATGAAAGAAGCCAATAAAGACACTTTGTCAGATACCTACTCATATACTATACTAGATTTTCTCAACTTAAAATCAATAATTTGTATGGTGTTGGTGGTTACAAAAAATCAAAAAGAAACAGAAAACATAGACTTAAAATAACTGTTACTTTTGTTACCTGTAGGAACCAAATTAGTCTATTTGTAAGATTCATATTTGACTAAATTGACTAGGATCGTTTTTTATTCAATCGTTGTACTGAAAATCTGCAAGTTTAATTGTGTATTATATTATATTCATTGTTGTGACGACAGCACAGAGAATTGTGGATTTGTACATGACAGTTTTAACTTTTTACTAACCATTTAACCATTTGTTATTCGTCAAATCGATATTTATACTTCATTATTGAAATAGTGAATGCCTAATACCTATTGGAATTTGGGTTTAGATTTTAGATTGATATTTGATAGTCGCAACGCCGAACGTTGAACTGGACTTTATTTTCTTTTATCACTTTAAGATGTTGATAGTTGATAACAAATCACACGAACAACAGCTGCTGCTGACTGCTGTTGGATACGAAGGTTACGTCTTCATAGATCACATTATTTAAATGTTATAAAATTGTTAAGCACGGACATCCGACATACCACATTATCACATATTCTACATTACTACGGCGTGGTGCCGTGGTAATAAATCTGACTTTTAAACGATCTAGTTAAGTGTTTTTTTTGTTAAAGTTTATTTTTATTGTTTATTTATTAACTAGTTTATAGAAAGAACTACCATATAAAGTATGTACAGTGTTGTGGTTTGTGCGGATTCCATAGACAAACAAAAATATATCTTTTTATACCTACGGTAGATGAATAGAATGTAGATCCCCACTGAATCATTGAAAAAATATGCTTTGGACTTTGACTTTGGTACAATCAATATTTGACTATACGACAATATGACATACGTCTATACCATAATATATTTATATTTACATCGAACAAACATTCAGTAATGGTCCATAGTCTATACTCTATAATTCGTAGATATAATAGATGGGAGATGCTTATGTTCTTGATGATTATCATGCTTATGCTAAACATTAAAAATTAGTATAAAATTTAAATATTATACCATTATTTTAATTATACTATAATGTAATATAATATGTTTTGTATAAGTTGAAT